GTGTGGAGAGAGGCTTTATAGGGGGTTGGGGCAAGGGGAGGAGAAAGGACTGTGGGCCCTGCCGATTGGCCAGGTGCAAGTCGGTGTCTTGTCACACAGGATGTGGTCATATCTATGGCGACTTCTCTTGATTTTCATTGGCCAGTTCAAAGAAGTCCTGGGTGTGGCCAGCAGCGGCTTGGCTTCCAGGAAGAAGCCTTGCTGAGCACATGGCCAGGGGAAGATGGAGGGCATAACCCTTACCCTGGGGCAAGGTGGAGGGCGTAGTCCTCGCCCTTTCAGTCTCTGCTCTCAGAATGCCCCCAGAATATGGAAGAGCTACAGTTTCTAGAGTAATTATTACCTCTAAAGAGTAACACTAATTGTAGCTAATATTTGTACAATTTTTAAAAATATACATGACCTCATTTAACCCTTTCAATAATATTCATTTAATAATTGTCTTTGATCACTGCTGTGTGCCAAGCCATGTTCTTGGTTCTGGGAATGCAGTAGTGCACAAAAGTTCTTCTCTCATACTGTTGATGGTAAATATTAGTTATTCTGAGGCACAGAGTGGTTCATTCATTGAAAAAATTACACTTGTAGTCTGTGCTGGAAGCTGAATTGATCATGAGCATGCGTTATTTAGTAAATGAGCAGATTGTTCTTGTCCTCAGGAGTTTACAGTCCAGGTCAGGGGTTCTCAAAGTGTGATCCTGGATCAACAATGTATGTGTCACCTGAGAGCCTGTTAGAAATACAAATCTCAGAAATACAAATCTCAGAACCACCCCAAATACATTGAATCAGAAATTCTGGAGGTGGGCTCAGCAAGCTATGGTTTCACAGGCCCTCCTGACGATTCCTTTCATACACTGAAGATTGAGACCCATTAGTCTAGGACTAGTCTAGGTCAAATAATATTTTCATATATTCATATATATTTACATTGATAAATTGTTTCCTTATACAATCATCTAATTCTATATGCTATCTTATTTTAAGGAACTAGTAGCTTTAAGAGCTTTCTAGGTGATTCCAATGCACACTGAGGATTGAATGAAAGCCACAATGTATGGCACAATGACTTACATGTAGCTAACACTTAATACATGTTTAAATAGTGAATGAATGGATATTTAGATACTCTTCCTACTGATGAGGTCAAGTAACTGTCCAAGGTCACTCAGCTAATAAATGATGGAACGAGAATCCAAGTCCAGGTCTGATTCTGTATCCCAGGTGTTTTCTATGACTACATACAACAAGGCAAACAGCATTTGGCACACTAGCAGAACAGCTATTCCAAGAAATCCTTTAGCTTTTGATAATTACAGTACCATAATGTTATGTTTTATAACAGAGATCTCTTAACATAGGACACATTCGTGTAATGGAAACCTAAAAATAAGTAGGGATTTTATTATTAACACTAGAGGCCCAGTGCACAAAAATTTGTGCACTGGGGGCGGGGGTGGGGGGGGTGGGTAGTCCCTCAGCCCGGCCTGTGCCCTCTCACAGTCTGGGACCCCTCAGGAGATGACCACCTGCTGGCTTAGGCCCGCTCCCCGGGGGAACGGGCCTAAGCTGGCGGTCCGACATCCCTCTGGCAGCCCAGAGCCCTCAGGGGATGTCCACTTGCCAGCGGGGAGCAGGCCTAAGCTGCAGTCGGACATCCTTAGCACTGCTGAGGAGGTGGGAGAGGCCCCCGCCACCACCGCTGTGCTGGCAGTCGTCAGCCTGGCTTGTGGCTGAGCAGAGCGCCCCCTGTGGGAGCACACTGGCCACCAAGGGGCAGCTCCTGCATTGAGCGTCTGCCCCTTGGTGGTCAGTGTGTGTCATAGTGACCAGTCATTCCCAGTGGTTCTGCTGTTAGGATCAATTTGCATATTATCTAGTCCTTTTATTATATAGGACTAGAGGCCTGTTGCACAAAAAGATTCATGCAATAGGCTTTCCCTTCCCTTGGCTGCTGGCACCGGTTTCCCTCCAGCACCCGGGACCCAGAGGCCTTCGCTCTAGCCA